TAGAAATATAATAATTAATATCAAATAAATAATAAATAATATATAAATGAATATACACAATTATGCTTAATAAATTAATGATTATTGACAATATCTATTAATCAAATGGTTATTAACAATACATATTATATATTCAAATAATGATAAATTGATATTTTTAATGATTTAAAACACTTTCAATTGTGGTTTGTTTTTTTATGGGAACCAAAATAAGCAAAGAAATAATGAATCTAAATAAAAATACTACAAAAAGAAAAAGGGGGTAAAATAAATTGAATCAATAAAATAAATTAATTTTTATTATTTTTGTTCTTAAAAAAATAAAAAAGTAAATTAAATACACATTCTATATTCATTTATATTTGTCTATATTTTATATCATTTTATGGTAAATTGTTATGAAATATAAATGATTCAGAAATGATATTTGATTCAATGTAAGTATACATTTTTATTATTATGTTATTATTATGTTATTATTATATATTTATATATTTTATTATTATATTTATATTTATTTTTATTCTTATATTATATATATCATCATTTTATCTATATATTTTATATTTATCATATTTTATTAGTTTTATATTATTATTATTTATATTTTATTTTATATATTAATATATTTTTATTTATATATAATTTCTTATATATTCATATATTTCATTATCTTATTTTCATTTTGATTATATTTTTATATTTTATATCTTCTTTCTCTTTATATTTATTATTATTTTATTTATATTATATTGATTTTATTTTTATTTCATTTATATATTTTATTTATTATTATATCATTTTTTTTTCTCTTATTATTTCTTTATATTTATTATTATTCATTTAATTTTTATATCTTATATCTATATCATATGAAATTATTATTTATTATTTATCATATATTACATATTAATCATATAATATTTATAGCTGACTATATATTATATTTTTATTCTTTTCTCTTCTTTTTTATATTATTTTATTTTTTATTTGAATATATTTGTTTTTGTATTTTTGTTATTTATTTTATTTCTTATTTTTTGTGTTTATTTTATTCTTATTTATCTTATTTATCATTTATATATGTTATATTTGATTTTATTAATTATATTAATTAGTATTTTATTAATATAAATATTATGTTATTATTTTATTATTTATTTATTTTTATTATTTATTTTATCTTTTCTTATTATTCTTTTATTATTTTATGTTTATTATATTTTATTTTTATATTTCTTTTTCTATGTGTGTTTCTATTATTTTTATTTATTATATATATTTCTTTTTGAATTTATTCTTATTCTGTTATTATTTATATTTTTTATTTATTTTATTTATTCGATTGTTTAATAAAAAATATATTCATTTTTATTCTTTGTTTATTATTATTATTAATTATTTTTATTTATATATTGATTTGATTATTATATTTGTATTATATCATTTTTATATTTATTATTATTTATATTTTGTATTATTATTTATTTATTATTATCATTTTTATTTTTATTTATCATTTTATATTATATTATTCAATATTTCATGAATTTAATATTTATTATGAAATCATTTATTAATCATTTCATTTTATAATGATATATTAATTAAATTATTTTGTTATATCACATTGATTATTTAATATTTAATGATAGAAATTAATGATATAAGATTAATATAATAGATATAAATAAAATGATGAATATTGAAACAATCATTTAAAATCAAAAATAAATAATAAGAAATAAGAATATGATATAAATAATAAAGAATAAAGAAAAGAAAGATAATAAAAGAAATAAATAATAAATATAAATCAAAT